TGAAGAAATGACTAAAAATTTTCTGTATGGATTAAAAAAAAAAAGTCTCTGTGATCAGATTTAAATATAGCATCTTATAAAAGGAAATAAAGAGATGTTCATTGACAAGAACAGTTCCAAAAAATTACAAGACAGAACAAAACCAATTCAAGATTTTATGTTAGATACTTGATACTCAGGATGTCTGGAACATCCATAAAAAAAGAAAACTTTCTCTTTCACAGGAGGAAATGTATTTTTTATTCAGAATCTCATTATGGCTGAGAAATGTGATCTGTCATTTTGGACATCAACAATATTCAGAAGCTTTGTCTTTTTAAGAGTAAATATTATAGCTACTAGGATGATATAATGTGCTATACCACACTAGCAATTTTTGAGTTTTTAAACGGTAAGAAGTGATACATTTTCAGCAAGTTGTTTTTATGGAGTCACATGCCTGAAAAGGATAGATATTCTTTCATTTTTTCAATTTGAAAGAACTGAAAAGCTTACATCTTAGATAACTGTGTTCTAATAAAAATACATAGGTTTATTTTTTAATATGTATGAACTGCAAAATTAAAAACAGCCTATGTTTTTTACATGCAAACTAATGTAGATCATTAAGGGTTCAGTTTCTGAATACAGTTCAATTGTTTCAGCTGTGTATTCTCCCCACAGTTCAGATAGACATATGAATGTTTGCATAAAGTTGTCTTTACAATTTGTGAGCAGAAAAATGTAAACCTAGCTGAGTGCACTTCCTATTCTGTCCCTTTTTGTGTTTATAGGCAGTTTTGTCTGTTAATTGCACAGTGCAGGATATTATCCCTGTTGATAAGGTAATATTGGCCTCGGATGTACAAAGCATTCCACTCTGATTCGGTTTCCATTGGTCTGAGTTGGGATTCTATTTGAGAATACTATAGTTAGGATGAAGATAATCATATCTTTGCCAGAAGGTACCCAAGAGCTTTATTTCAGGCAATGTAGTTATGCCATATACATTTTATGTTTGATAGTTTTGGTGAGCATCCTCTCCTTTCATAAAAAATGTATTAACTTGGTTAACTCAAAGAACTCCACTGAGAATGCCTTCAGTATTCAAATGCTGTGCCCAGAAGCAAGATTTATTACATATAACTGCTGCATGCACAACGACTACATCCCTCCAATCTTGACTTGTAGCTGCTGTATTTTAAAACAACTTGTATCCTTGGCAACCAATGTTGTGGGAAAAAAAAATGCCAGAATCACCTGAGTAACCATGGAGACCAAAACAATGCTTATGGGTAATTGGATGACACAGGAAATACTTGATACTTAATACTTGGGAGATACTAGCTTGAAATTAATCATTTTATAAAACATGAAGCAAAAAGCTACATACAAAACATATGATAAAGAAAAATGAGATGTCTTTTCTCTGTAGCCTTTTCTTTTCTGATCACACTTAGATCAAGTAACTGAGTTCTGTTGTTCCGTATGTGTATCCACTAATAGCAGAGCATCTGTGCATCCCTCCACAACAGCTTGTATTGCTGGTTCACTGCACCAAATATGTGTACATTCCTGTACCTCAGCACATAGATTACCATCATACAAATGCCTCAGCAAATGTTCCCCAGGAGTATATCTCTGAAGGAATAAAATAGCCTTGCACTGTGAGGATATTCTTTAGTCGGTATCTGTTTTAGATGTCATTCAGGGAATTACCGTATTCTGATCTGGCTTTGATTTGGCTTTCAAATAAACTATTTATGTCATTCAAGAAGCAAATTTCTGAAGGAGTCATCAAACTCCTTAAAGTACTTTCATAATGAAAAATGGCATCTGTTGCTGTTTTGAGTAAGAAGCTCAGATCAAGACTTTTGCCTGAGAAATGGGGAAAGACAGTCTGAAAGAATCCTGAAAATCCTCTGATCTGTCTGGTCTCGTCTGCTCTCTACAGCTGCAATAGAAAACTGCAACTGGCTTCAGCCGTACTCAGGAAACTGCTATGGGAAGCAAATCAGTGCAGTACCGTTTAAAAAAGATATTGAACTTAGATTTCACATGGTACTTTTAACTAGGAACACCACACCATCCTTTGAGAAGAAACTGGCAAGAAAGAGAGATCTAAGACTCGGTGTGGGAGGCTTGATCCTTTCTTCACCCTAAATTCTTATGCTGTGTCTTTTGTATGGGTCTGGAGTCTGCTGAGCTTGGGGGGAGTACGTGGCAGGGACAAAGCAGAGGGGTGTAAGGTTACTGCAGCGAGATAACTAAACCTGCAGCTGAAGGTTCATATATGTAACACTCCCTTTGCCTCATGGTGGGCAGCTACTGCATCCAAATGGGAAGCCTAAGGGCAACAGGAGGTATATCCATGCGAGTTTACTGCCCCAGGCTCACCCTGGGCTTTGGGGAAGCAGCCCAGAGAGGGTATCTGACAAATTAATGAATTTATTTTTAAATCGGGGAGAAGTAAAGAATGCAGATGGCAGACATTCACTGAGAGAACCCTGGAAAATAATTGCAAGGAAAGGCGGTGGTGTTGGAATAAATGACAATTATAGATGATATCATCAGGCTTATTGCAGGAAGAGTCACCAGCACTGATTTAGGGTACAGACAAAGCTGCTTTAAGTGAAAGAATAGAAAGGTAATTACAGACAAGGACTTTTACAACAAAAAGTCAGATACTGAGATATATAAAGCCAAACTGACTGCTAAAAAAGTTTAATGAAATGGGAGACGTTTCAAAAGCAGCAGTGAAGGTCACTAGCAAGTTGAAAGAAATGTCTGAAAAGATGAGAAATATGGTTAGTTTGTCTAATACAGCAGACAAATAATAGTTTAATTATTGTTAGGATGAAGGTGCATTTTTTAGGCTACTGTTTCTTACTAGGCAGTTACAATGACATTTGAAAACTCCCAAAACTCAGGTATACAAAAGGATGGCTCCTGAAAATGGGATTGACTGGCTAGAGAAACAAAATATATCAGTAGTGAAAGGAACAGAGAAAATAATGCTAAGATGGATATCTAATAGAATTACCACATCATAAAACATTGAAACTTGAGCTACTAAGCCAATCAGGAGATACTTACTGAGGCTATGTAAGCATATATTACATAAGCAAACTATTCTTAAGTGTGACTGTAAATGGTTTCTGTGGGACCTTGTAACTTGTGGAATATATAAGCCATTTCACCTGTCCTTTCTTGGAGCCTTCTTTAATTTAGGTATATGATAATAAATTGCATCAATGGTTATTTTATGAAACATCTAACACTGCTATTTCTTTAGAGATGGTTTGAGATATTTTCTATTTTAGTACTTCATGGCACTAAAGAGAACATAAAGTATATAAAAATACTGGAAAAGCTAAATATTATCTTCCAGAAAAGCAAAAAACTAAAACAATTGCGAGATTTTACTTTTAGTTTAAAAAAATCTAAAAGGAATTTTTTAATACATTGAAGATACAGCTATAGATTTACTGACCTTTTTCTCTTCAGTAGTTTTTGTATCATTACAGGTAGGTGGAAACATTTTTAAAGCTGGCAATCACTCTCCACTGTAAGATTTTGATTTTATCAGACTTTGAACATTTCAGCTGCTTTTTTCCTGAGCTTCTCAACTATTAATATTAAGCTGTCTCAGAGTTAAATTACTCTTTAAGAATATTTAAAAAGGGGTCAAGCATTCCTAATACTCTCTGGTTTTCCCTTCTTTTGAATGAAATTTTGAAGATAAACCTAACCACCACCTGTTCCCATTAACTGTGCCCCCTAGTGCTGCTAGCCCTAAATCTTTGGAAAAAACAGTCAGTGATGTAGTGTTTAGCAACCACTTTTTCTGATGAGTTAATTCTCTGTAATTTCGTGGACATTTTCACTGTCTTTTCAGTGGCATCTCTAAACTGCAGGAGACTGGTCCATATTGAATACCTTATTCGAGAAAAACAAGTTTGATTTGTGTCCAGTGTCCAGTGTACTCATTCTGGATTAAGGACACTTGACTAATTCAAGAAGAGAAACAAGAGGCTGTGAATGACTAAGAAACTTGGTGTAAATGAGTACTGCACATAAGTATTGGCCATTCCTGTGTCTGCATGAGATACCTATGTAAAGGGCTTCATGCTCAGTGCTGTCTGTGTATATAATGAGATTGTAAAAATGCTAACATTGTGTGACAAAAAAATTAAAAGTAACTGAAGTAGCACCAGCTACTGAGCAACCCCAGCTTTGGCCCAGTGAGCAGGTAAACCCAGGTGATCGGTTAGAAAGGTGTATATGAGTAAAATGCTCATGTTTTGCTGTGTTTGTATGGTCACAATTGTGACTGTCGGGCGGGATACTGAAAATACCTGTACAAGAGACTTAACACTGATGCTATTGGGGTTGGAAGATCACTGTTCTTTCATTCAAAATTATTAATTATTCTGTCTTTCTTTTCAATCATTAAAGGAAATTCTGTGTATCATATTTGACAAAGATTCTCCCTTCCTCCCTTAATTGGCTATCAACAGATAATTGAAACAAATAATTTGCATAGTGCATAGAATGAATTAACTTGCCCAATTGATTAGAGCACTATGTGCAACCTAGTAATTTATTTGAAAATCTGGATCAAAACACTAGTTATTAACTAAATTAACATTGAAAATTAGTTACCTTGTTCTAAATGACTTCTCTAATTTTTGTGTGATTTACTCAAACATTATTTTGGGACCCAAAGGTAAATACAGAGATTCAGTCATAGTATGTCAGGAAAATAACATAGCTTAAATCAGTAACCTGTATTCATCACTCATCAGTTTTGGGGAAACAAGAGGGGTGAGAAGCATTTCTTTCCTGCAACTTCACACCATATAGTAACAAGCCCACTAATAAATTTTTTAGAAATGTCCTGAAAACTATGGTAGAGGAGAAACAGCTGTATTCCAAAGCTAGTCAAAACATAAACCTGATTCTGATCTGGACATCTCACTGCATTTAAGCATTTAAAGCAGAGAATAGGCACTTTTTTTTTACCCCTTTCCCCAGTAAGCTCCTCTTTCAGTAACAGATTCTTCATCAGCCTGAGAATCCCTTGTAAGTCACACTTTAACAGATCTGTAGGGGACAAGGAAGTTCAGCAGGGCAAGAGAAATGATGAAGCAAAAATAGCAAATATTTCATATATAATGAACACAGAGTGACAGGACCAGAAAATAATAATCTTATGTATGGAATTGCATAATACTATTTGTAGTTTTAATTGTTAGACTGTGCAGTTTTAAGTAGCAAAGTCAGGGAATACTCTGAAAAGCTTCTTTCTATGAAACCACTGAACGTATAACCAGTGTATGCAGACACATATTCCGCATAAGGGCATTTACATTTGCATTCAGAGCATGAAGAAAACAAAAAATCTGCTTCTGAAAATTTTGCCTAAGATGACTTCAGTATTAATTATTCATGCAATGGCTCTGCATTTTTTTGCTACTTTTAAATAGACAAAGACCTCCAAAAGGAAAAAGATGTCCTGTCTAAAATTGTTGTTAGGGCCTCACTTGTCCAAAATGTGAAGAAGAAACAGAATATATTGTTTTATTTGACATATGCTGTACAATAAACTAGATTTTTTGAAACCAAACTGAAAATTAAATTTCTCTGTCACAGTGTTTCTTAATTCCCTAGTCACAAGCTGTTAAAACTTTGTTAAAGAACTTTGTTTCTCTTCTAGCAAATAGTAAATTGAGAGTAATGATCACCCCCAAAATGCTGAACAAAACAGTGCTTTGTTCAAAACAGCTGACACTTTCTGTAGTATGCAGTTTCAGTGAAAGAAAACCAGGTACTGTGACAAACTCTACCTTTCATGACAGTGTATGATTAAGAAGTGTATCATACACTTCTTAATATAGTCCAAAGATGGAAATATTGATATTTTTATCAGAGATATTTCAGATATAACTAATCTCAAAATATGTAAGCCTGAACTATGTTTCCCCCTGAAGTGGCAAATCTAAGGAAATTTAGTTCTTTTTCTCCTGTTGTACTGAAGTTAAAAAAAACACCAAAACATCTGTCCCAATGGCAGCTGAAAAATGTATGTCTAATTAAATGTGCCTGTCATTTCCATTGCCAAAATTATTCTTTACCCTTTGTTACTGCATATGCTGTAATTGACAGGAAGCTGCATGATCAGTAGTTGTAATTTATAAAACATTTTTGGATATTTCAGTAAGAAAAGCTCTATACTAATGCAAGATATTAATAGCAATCTTGATAATTCCAGGCAGTTAAAATTTAAGGACAAATTCTTATTAGAATAAAAAATGAAATTCAAACCAAATCCCACATAATTCTGCTAACTCATCTTTAATCTAAATAAAGATATGTCTGTTGTTGTGGGCAAAACAGACTCGAATTGGGGAATTTAATTTATTGCCAATTAACATAAATATATGATTAATGACTTGGGTATTGAGAAACAAAGAAGGAAGATATTTAAACACTCGGGGAAAACACCTTCAGAGGTGGCACCAGCTCCCCTCAGCTGTGCCCTGTAGCAGATCTGTTGGAACTGGCCTCTCCTCACAGAGGCCACCCTACAGCACCTCCAAACCTGGAATCCCATATATCTGTTTTGTTTGTTTTCCTGACTTCCATTTGTTGAGTTTATTTTTTTAGGTCAGCACTACTCCTTTTTCCTAATATTGTTGATTTCTTAGCTTAATTATTGACCTGCTGGATTGCACACCTCAGACCTCCGAAGATCTCCAAAGAGCTCATTTCCAATGTGTAGTACTCTATATTATTTAAAAATCAAGTAGTATATGAAATAGGATGAAAGTTTCACCTAAACCAGAATGAACTAGGTGAGGAGTTTTGCTAATGGTTTATTTAAGTCTGTAAACTATTTGTTTTGAAAGACATTTGCAAAATTAAAGGGTCTTACCCTGTTTTCAGTCTCAGGTAGTTTTGCCGTTCCAGCAGTGTAGCTGTAAAATCCATGAACCCCAAGAAGTCTTCAGCTCTTTCATTTTCCATTACCTACATAAAGTCTCAAATTTGTTTATTATGACATTTCTATTGACTTGATAAGTGAGAAGGGTTGCTGATGAATCTGTGTAAATTATAGTCTGTCTCAGCCATCTCTTTCATCTCTTTGGGTTCAAGTGCAGAGATTTCTACACTTTATTTTAAGGATTGTTATTTAAACATTGAGGAATTAGTGTAAAGAATTTTTTTGCTTGAAGTTCAACCTATTTCAAACTTCTGATACCAGAGTAGGGTTCTTCTTTCAAAAGGATGTTTATTACTGTTTAGCAAGCGCCACATGTTGTCTGTGCTTTGCAAGGAGCATAAGCCATTGCAGTAATTCATTCATTGGCTTACATTGTAGAGGATTTTGTTATAGCAGGTTCTGAGCCAAACATTGTCCATAGGCTAATTTTGCACCTAATTTTTTCTTTCCTAATAATATGATTGATTCCACTTTGGGTATGCTCTTTGGTCTGGAATTATGAGTAATGTTCATTCAGCAAGAGAAAAATTGTTGAATGCCTTCCATAAAGTACAATAGGAAATTGCTTCTTTCAGAATTACCTAAGTGATATTTATATCAGCTTCAGTAGAATGTGACTAATATTTTACCGTTCTAGTAGCAACAACATGATAATCTTAATTCATAAATAGGGGTTAAATAGAGACAGATCATGTTTTATCTAAAACATGTCAAATCACTGGGAGCTTAAGTGATGAAAACAGTATCAAAAGGGAGGGTTTTTTGCTCTCCCTTTTAACTAGCTGGTATTGATAGAAGTGTCATATCCATGCAAAGGGAGCAGGTCAGATTTCCAGCAGGATGTAGCTAAGTCTTTTCTCGCACAGTAAGTACCAGCCTTACCTCACAGATGCCTCCGAGTCTAAAGTATTTTGTAAAGGGTATTCTAAAATCCGGTATGCTAATCTAGATAAAAGAAATTTGGTATTTGTAAGTGTACTTTTTCCTCCCCTTTTCCCTTTTTTTCTTCCTTTCTTTTTCCCGATTTCTTTCCTCCTTTATTTCACTGTAAAATTCACTCTTAGTATTCACCACTTAGTCCATTGCATTCCTTGTTTTGTTCCAGATGCATAGCAAGGGGAAGTTTTACAATCTGCAGAAATAGAAAATTTCAGAACTTTTAATCATAAATTTTTTAATAGAGCGAAGCCAGTCTATTTAAATCTGTATATATAAATTGATTGTTTTTAGGGACATTGAGTAGCAAAAAGGAATTATGAACTTCCAGGTCACAAAATTAATTTAATGAGGTTGTATGTTTTACTGTTGCAAGCTAGAAAATGCTTAATCTCTCTCACATGTCTTTTCCAGCATATTTGGAAAGTGTCCTACTGGATTTATCCACTATGTAACATTCTGTAAGTGCCAGAATACTTCTGTAATCATTTATATAGCCAGTGGTGGTGTGTATAAATGCAGACAACAGGCTGAAGAATTTTTTTAACTTAATTGTTCATTGTCATCTTTTTAGTTTCTCTTCTACTTTTTCCATCAGCCTGTAGTTTCAGATCTTTATATACTAGTACTCTGGGAAAAGTAAAATTGTATCTTTTAATACAACTTTCTAAGCATTTTAATGTAAAATAAGAATATACCATTTTACCTTGGGCACTTCCATTTTGGCTCCATAAAATCTTTCAAATCTTCTTCCTCAGTTCAACTGTAGACATAAATCAATTGAAAAAATAAAGCATTAGTAATAACATAGCATTTTTTCATTAATACATTGTGAACATGGTGCAATTTGACTGCTTTCCAACAAAACAGTTTTACAGTATGACTGTCTGCTAATACTAATGCAACTCTTTCCTAGGTCTGTATGGGTAGTTTGATGGCAGAACTCAATGGAATGGAATAAAATGTCATGGATGGTTACTGCTGATTGTAATTATGATCCTGGAGAGCAAGATTTACAATCCTCAAATGCTAAATATTACAGCAAATTGTGTGTTTGTTGTAACTTTTTATTACTGCAATTCTTTTTCATTTGCCTTCTTATGTGTTTAAAATACCAGTAGTTATAATTTTTGGGAAACATCCCAATGAAATACCCTGAAGATAAAGGGATACTGAGGCACTAAGATATCTGCATCTTATCTCCATGACCTGATGGCAGTAATTATTAGGCAGTAATTGAGGATGGTCTTCCTTCAATTGTGTCAAAGGTGGACAGTTGAAAGCTAACCAGAAGTGAAGTCTGAGGAAAGAGGAAAATGGAGAGGAGGTTGCTTTGCTTCAGAGAAGTATGTGCCCAGATATAAAGGTGGCTGTGGATTAAAAGGGGAAGAAGGGGGCAAGAAGATGAGTGGTGCAGACACCTCTGACAGCAAAGCTGAGCTAAGGCAATGAAGAGCTAAAACTCTGACAGTGCAGACAAGGTTTACGAATTAGGCATGGGGGGGAAAAAAGGTATTTCTATAGAAGTAGTTTGGTTCTTCCTCTTGACAGTGTTCATTGTCATGAACATTGGTTTGCTCTGATGCCAAATTGGTCTGATGCATGGTCTGCTCTGATGCCAAATTTGTGCTTATACTTGCTGTGCGAGTAGGTCTTAGACACATCAAGTAGAAGTGGAACTATTTTAAATGAAAAGCAGTTCCTAACAGCAGAAAGGCAGTTACTTCTCTGATGGTAACTAACAGTGTGAGCACTGCCTTACTTCTTCATGCAAAATGCAGCTAACAATAAAACAGTGACCTAAAAAATCACTGTTTTTATTGGTACCTGTGTCAGTAAAGCAGGTTATTAACAGGTAATCATTCAGCCTTACCCCTTACCTGGATTGTCAGTACAATTTAAAAAAAAATACAGCTCATATTGGATTTTCTTTTTGCTCAAATCCAAACTATGATCTGAAGTTTAACTTCACACTGAAAATATAGGGAAGACCTTACAGTCCGAATGGAATCACACAGATACATACCCATGGGAGAGAGGGAAGTAACACATTTTACAAGATTAAAACTTTTTGACTTAACTCCCAGCTCCTGCTTTTGTTAGTGAAATTTAAAGTTCTTTCCTGATTTTTGGAGGGTCAGTTCTGTGGTATTTTCCCCTACTTTGGGTGCTGGTGCCAAAGCTCTGTATCTTTCACTTAAGTGCTACTAGCTGAATCAGCAATAGTTAAACAAGAGAAACAGAATATATTTGATGAACATATCTGCATTTGTTCTCATTCCGCTTAGGTTCACTACAATGGTCTTTCTCATCTAATATAATTTTTGATATTCACTGAGGTTATACAACAAAATTAACCTTTTTGTATGATAGGTTTCATCCAACTAGATATTATTTTTGCCACCTTGATTTTTTCCCTCTACTTCCTAAATTCACTCTGAGTTAATAGTTCCTAAAGTATGTTTGCTCTTTTAGGTTTCTTCTTTAATTTGCTAGTATTCTTGTTAAATTACAAACCTTTTGCTCTGAGTACAGAAGGGATTCAAAACACTTACTGTGTTTCAAAAGCAGCCTTTCTACATAAAGTTCTGGTTCCCATAAGGGGAAACACAGAGTAAAATTTCCTTGAAAGAGGGTGCAATTTCATGACCAGCTATTACTGAAAGGATCAATAACCGCTCTTGTCCTGTCACATACTCTAATCGTGTTTCTCTGCATCACTTTAAATCCCTGAGAATTTTGTAACTGAAAACTAACCAAGCAGACTTCCTTTCTCCCCACCCAAACCAGATGCATCTTTAGAGAAGATCTGACCAAATACTTGTGTAAAGGACTTCATAGGGAAATCAAAGAAGAGGAGTTGGACCTGACCTCAGTGTTGGCTAAGTTCATAATGAAAAAATAGCCTCATTATTTTCATCCAATTTTGTCTGAAAAAATGCAGGCATATATTGTACATCTTGGCCCTGGGAGCAAGGAGAGCAGGACTTCTAAAGAAGATCCTAAAAAACACAAACCCAAAATGTTAATGTTCCCCAGGATGTTAAGGCAAATCACCAGGTAGGAAAAAAAGCTTAATGTCATGATAAAAACATGTGGATAGTTATCATACAGTTTTTAATGGGTAATAACTTAAACTAAAACATTCTTAAAAAAACACAAAATGCCAGAACCCACAACAGTTTATAAATGAAACAGAAGTGTTTCATTTCTGGTTGACTCTCGAAAATATGGGCATTATTTTCAATAAAGGCAACAAATTTTAAGGCAACCAAATGTAGGCATAGAATCCAATGCTTTGAGAAGGAATTCTGGATTATAATAAGTAGTTTTACTCCCTTGTCGTTTAAACTTATGAAAGAATCTTTCCAGAAGATAATTAAGGTCTTTTATTCTGACGTACACCTTCCTCTAGAATTACCACTGTTTATCACTTTTTCAGACATTATAACCTTTCTTTGAGGGATATTTTAGAGCACTCAGGTAAATAGTTATGGAAAAAAGTTGGCTGGGTCTTCCTTATACAACAGTCTTGGTTGAATCCAGGTATATCCTATGGTTTTCCTCAGTGCCCCAGGAGATTTCAGACCATTATCATGTTACTTGCTCTGAAGCTAACTGAGTGTACCGTAAGGACAGTCTGGAGGTACTCTAAATCCACAGTGCATTGCATCTAATCTATTAAAGTTAATCCACTGTGGAGATATTCTACTGAATCTCTCGGTGATTTATTACCTAGGACAACAAAAGCCCAAACCCTCTACGGTAAAGGTTCTGGCATGCGTATCTGTCACATGAGTTTGGAGGACTCCATCTATTCAGAGCAAGGGAAATGGAAGTTCTCTTAGTCTTGCTTTGCATGACCCGCCCCTTCTCACTCCCCCCACCCCCTTCTCCACGGGTGTAGCTGATGGCAGCCATTTTATAGGAAAATTTCAACCAGCCCTACTGGCTGGACAACTAGAAAGGTTAAGATGAATTACTTAAAGGTAAAATACATCGAAGTAGTGTACTCATTCAGAAGTAAAGGTATTTTAGCTTCCTACAGCGCCTTCTTTTTAAGCACAATAAAGTCATTCTGCTTCTGTGGAAAAGCACGCAGATGCATTACTGCATGTCAGGTTTGTACCTCTAATTAATTTGCTATTTGGGTTCTAAAGGCAGTGCTCTGTACATTTAAGAAATCCTTGGTTTAGATGGGATCATTCTCACATGAGTTGAGTTTATTGGAATTGCTTGAAAACCAACCGTCCTTTTCAGAACTAAGAGAGTGTGTATGTGAAAAGGGTGCAGAAACGGTGGGTTTATTGAAAGCGTTTTCTTGTTAAATATTTTTAATGATTTGCATAAGAATATCTATTTTAGCTTTCATATAGTTGTTAGGGATTTACTGCAAATAAATGACAAAGTTGCAGCTTTAATGTGATTAATGTGCAATTTCATCTTCTTGTCTGGGGTGGCTTTCTCCAGGTGGATTTCGTAGCAAATGTTTTAGCGTGGCATAGCATAGAACTGAACAGCAAAGAATTGTTACAGTTTGGAAGAGTCGTTATTTGCCTGGCTGTGCTTTGGGCACAGATGCAAAGGCTCTAGGTCTGAAAATAAGCAGCCTTTTGGCCACACCAGGGTACCCTGCACCCCTTTGTTTTCCAAAGCCTGTGGCGTTTCCATGGCAGTCTCTTGGCACCGCCCCCCCAGCCTATGGCTCTGGTCACACTCTGGCTTTCCTCCAGGCTGCGGCTGCTGAAATCACCCGTCCCAGGGCCCTGGACAAGGGTTTGTGTCCAGCCACATCAAGGCCCGGGTCCTCCTCGCTGCGTGGCCTCATGGCCGAGAGCGCTGGCGCAGAGAGGGGACGGCTAAGAGGGGCGGCCTCTGGGCGGTGGGCGGGGCTGTGCACGGGGCTCCACCCCCCGTGTCACAGTGCCACCACCTGGCAACGCAGCCTTGACGGCGCCCCCGGGGGGTATCCAAGGCAGCGTCCTCCGTGTCCTGCTGCCAGAGCTGGCCTGGGGGCAGCCCGAGCACATCCGAGAGGAAGTCCTCGGGGAGCCAGTGGAATTACTTGGAGAGGACTGAGGGAGAAAGACCAGAAGCTGGATGAGGCTGCTGGAGAGGAGAAGAAACAGCAAGAGCTGGGGGTGCCCGAGGCTGTCAGGCCCTTTCATCTGGACAGCAGTGTCAAAGACCAAGGGAATGCCTTCTTGAGGAGCACTTCAAAATTCACCACCCTCATCCCCTGCAGAGCCAGGGGCAGCAGCTGTAAGAAATGGGGTCCCAGTGCTTTGGAGCACCCAGCGGTGCCCTGCCAGGCATGGGAAGGATTCTTGCACCCAAAGTCGATCAGGCCGGGGCCTTTTGCCACTCTTGGAAGCCCCTGAGGTGGCTCCAGGTGGAGGGAGAACAGGACTTGGGCATCTCCTGGGATGCGTGACCAGCCTGTGGGAGGAGGAGGCAGGTCTTGCTCACATGCTCAGGGAGTAGCCGATCGCCAGTATTGGGGTCAGGAAGGAATTTTCCTCCGGGGCAGGTTGGCACTGGTCCCTGGGGGTTTTTCGCCTTCCTCTGCAGCACTGAGCGTGACCAATTGTCAGGGCTCTTCTGGTCCATTTTGGCATGGTTACTGCCTGCTGCTCACGCACCACAAAGATGGCCTCTCATGCCTTGCAGCTGGGGGGAGGAAGGCTTTTTTTCCCCCAGGATGGAATAGCAGCTGTCCC